AGCCGCGGATCGCTGTTGCCTGCTGATCGGGGAGGCGGCCGCGGCCGGCGCTCCGGGCGGATGCTGGCACTCGGGCTTCGCTGCTGTCTGGATGCCGCTCAACTTCTCTCCTAGGCGCAGGAGCTTTGAAGTCATTTGTCTCTCTCCGGTTGGATCGACTTCTTATTTTGATATTTTGGGCGTTGCGGTTTACGCAGGAACCTCGATACCGCTCTCCCCCCTCCCTCTCCCTCTTTCAACCTTTGGATGCGTCTGTACTGGCAGATTGAAAGACCCAAGTCTTGGCTGTGGAATTTCTTGGATGGACTTGCAGGGGCTGGTGTTGTCAAGCATGTCACCATAGCCCTGTCCTTGTCTTGTTGTTGTTGGTAAAGTTCTTTTGTTTTCATTTTTTTTTTTCCTTCCCCCACTAATAAATCACCAAACTGTTACCTAGCAGGCCGGTACCTGCCTCTCCCAGGACTAGGTGGTTCGTCTGCCAGAAGAGGAGCTATGTTGGAAGAGCAGCCTACTCCACCCCTCTCCTCTCCAGCCCTTGAACGCCACCGCACACTGGCATTTTGAAAAAAAAAAATTGCCTCCAGAAACTGAGCACCCCCCAGTCCTCTCCTCCCCCCTTTTTTAACTCCTTGAGGAATGGAGCTTTGCAGAGGTTGTATTTAGATTCAACAGTTCCGAGCAGCGGGGTCGCTGCTGCCGTCTCTCCAAAGAGCTCGCGAGGCTCCCCGGAGGCGGTGGTCCCTCCCGCCCGTCTGGATGCGGCTCTGAGTCTCCGTGTGTCTTTCTGCTTGTTGCTGTGTGCAGGTGTTTGGCCGCGATCACCTTTGTGTGTCTTCTGTCTGTTTAAACTTCAGGATGGCTCGCTTCGGGGAGGCGGTGGTCGGCAGGCCAGGGTCTGGCGATGGAGACTCGGACCAGAGCAGGAACCGGCAAGGAACCCCCGTGCCAGCCTCGGGGCAGGGGGCCGCCTACAAGCAGTCGAAAGCGCAGAGGGCGCGGACTATGGCTTTGTACAACCCCATTCCTGTCCGGCAGAACTGTTTCACCGTCAACAGATCCCTGTTCATCTTTGGAGAAGATAACATTGTCAGGAAATACGCCAAGAAGCTCATCGATTGGCCATATCCTTTCTTGCCCATCATAACTCCCCTCTCTCCCTCTGCATTTCTTGGGTGAGAGGGGAAAACGAGCATGGAATTTATCCCCCATTCCCTTCCTGGTGCCAATTTTCCCCTTTGCTGAAGTGCACTCTTTACTTCGGTGCATCTAAGGGGCAAGCTTGGTGCCATAGAGACCAGTGTGGGCACTAGTGGTTTCCAAGGTAAGACTTTTGGTTTTTGATATTTCCTGTGTGGCAATTTCTAGCATCCCTGGGTGTGGGTTGTTGCGGTTTTGTTTGATTCCCAAGGCCCCCTAGTCCCTTCACATTGAAAGGGTTGCCCTAACCTCAGGGCTTTCTTTCATACTTGCCTCAGAGTCACCCCTTTACTCCCATCCCCACAAGCTGGAGAGAGAACTGCATTATCTGCCTGTAGCAGAGGTCCAGGCTCCAGGAGGGGATTTCTCAGTTCAGAAACTTCAAGACCTCTGGGCCAGAACCCTGTGGACAAATAGATAAAATAAAACAGGCTTTGCCTGGAGACCCAGCTAACTCTGGGGACTAAGTTGAAGTTCCATTGAAAGTAAAGTGAATGAGTGTGTCAGGGGAGGCAGTCTCTAATGACACAGCCCAAACAGCTCAGCTGGAGTTCTCTTCTGAGCCTGGGAAGAGTGGCTCACAGGGTCCCTCCTTTCCTTAGCCCTGAACGGGGTACCCCACTGAGTGCTCTCCCAGTGCCCCGGATCCAGGCAGATCTGCTGGGCCTGAATTCATCTGCTGAAGACTGCAGCAGCTGAGTCCAGAGGTGTGCAAGCAATCTGCCTCTCCCTAGCTCCAAAGGAACTGCTCTCCACAGTAAGCTGGTGGGGCGTCTCTGGTGGTGGCAGTGTCAGGGTAAACCGGCATAGGAGCTCCTTTGCAGGTTTAAGCAAGTGCACCAAATGCAGGCTGCTGATTAGGCATCTCACTGCCTGTTCTTCACTGAGAATTTGGGCATCTGTCTGGCAAGATCTTTAGGAATTGGGGCTTGATGGGTGGTGAGGGGGATTGGTAGGAAGCAAGTCAGTGGGGTGATGGTAAATATGGGGATAGCTTGGAGACACGGGACTCTGATGCTTGTGGAGAGAGATTTCTTGGGAAGGATGCACCTGCAAAGGAGGCCCCACCTCTTTTCCCTTCCCTCCCTCCTCCACACCCCCACCCTCCAGGTGTGCGTCACTGAGACAGCTGGAGCGGCGCTGGGTCCCGACTGTCAAAGAGGCATGCTGCTAGCTCCCTTCAGGGCCTGGGCATCTCTCTGCTCCCCCAGCCCAGTCTCTGCTCTTCCCCTCCCTCCTCCCTAGTTCCCTGCCTCAGCAGCACCGTGATTGGCTGGCGCCTGGTACTTCCAGGCAGCACCCCTCATTAGAAATGAAGGAGCATCTCTAAGCAGATATTCCTGCTGCTGCACGCACCCTCCCACAGCCACCCCTGGCTGGGCTTCCTCTCCCCTACTCCCCGCACTCCCCTCCCCCTCCCACCCACGCAGAGTGACGGGGCCATTCTGTGTCTGAGTGAAACGCGTGGAGGGTGGGGGTATCGGGGAGGGAAGCAACCGGGTCCCTGCAGCTCCGCCTGCCTTTGCGCTGCACAAAGCACACGGGGCTCATTGTGTGGCACGCTGCGGCCGCAAACGCGCCTCCAGCCGGGCTCAGTCCCCCAGCAGGGCCCCTCCCCGCCCGCCCGCTACGCTCCCTAACATTGCCCACCCTCCGGTGCCGCTTCATCGCGCACCTCTCCCAGGGGCGCGTGTACTCAGACCGGCGCCTGCGTTTCCTCGCGGTAGACAAAGCCGCCCAGCGGTCCCGCGGGTGACAGAATGTGCCCGCAGTCATTGTTGGCACCTTGGACAGCGCCACCGAACTGCCCGGGAGGCCAGGGCTCCACCGTCACCCAGGTCAGCGCCTCGGGCACTCCCTGCGCGGCGCCTACTCCAGCCACGTGGTCGCTGCTGCTCACGTTTCCTCTCCCGCTGCCAAGCGCCGCCTTCCCGCCAGGGGCGGGAGCGAAAGGGGGGGCTGTGGGCTTTCCCCCCTTTCCTTGTCTGCGGCCAGGAGGGGCTAATGAGTCAGAAGGAGCCGAGGGGAGGCCAGGGAGTTCGTTTCGCATACTCAGTGCCTTGGCTGTGAGCCCTCCCCAGTGGTCCCCTCTGTCCCCATGGTTGGAAGTTTCCCAGCGGTTCTACAGCAGGTAGGCGGTTGTAACAGTGTTCAGAGAACATCTGTTAAGGTGTGTAGAGGAGCCTGGTTGGCAGATTTAAAATACACCACGTTTGCTTTTTTTCTCCCGATTGTACAATGTAACCAGCATACCTTCCCTCTGGGGGTGACCATGGGGGAACATTGTGCTCCCGTGGGGTCTGCACTTTCTCTAATACCACCCGCATCTAAGTTCCTAGTCTCTCTTCCCTTCCTTTCTAAACACCCAGCTTCCCGAAATACCTTGCTTTTACCTACCTGGAGTCAGGGTGAGATTCGGTTACCTGTCAAGCTTTAGAGTGAGTCTGTCTGGGTTCAAGTCTCCTTCCTTCAGCAGCTCTGTGACCTTGAAAAGCCACTTCATTACTCTGCGACTCAGTTTCCTTATTGGTAAAATGAGGAAGGTGATCATGAGTTAATAAGTATCAAGTTGCTAGAATATTGCCCAGTTGCCTGACAAACACTGGCCATTATTATTAGTGAGGCTCTTCAGAAATCTCAGGATACCTTAAGGGAGGGGTCTTAGTTCCAGGTGAACTAAGTCTTCTAGATTTTTGCTTCTCAAAGACAGCAAGGAACAGCATCCTTATCACCTCTTGATAAAAATTCGGAATCCCAAAGCCCCACTTCAGAGTTACTAAGTCATAATCTGCATCTGAGTAAGATCCCCAGGGGATTCATATGCACATTAAAGTTTGAGAAGCACTTCTCTGCTCACTGTAAGAGGCACATTTTGAAAAAAAGAAGGTTCAGAAGACTTGTCAAGACCTGCCTTGAACTGACCTGCGCACTTGCAAGATGCTGGAGGATTTTCAATATTTGGTGTGCTATGCTTTCTGAGACTTATACACCCTTAATAGGCTGCAGAAGGTCTCCGGACTTGGGAAGTAATGTGCACCCTTGTGTGCTGTTAGTGGTCCCTTAACACTGCATGTTACTCGTCTTTAATCAGATTGGGTGGAAAAGATGAGTTAACTAAAAGGAATGATTTAATTTATACTTGTAGGACTCAAACTTGCAGAGGGTAATGTTATCCAGTTATTAATATGGAAGGTCTAGTTCTTATGGGAAGAAATGCCTAAGATAGCCCAGATTTGGCATGAAAGATGGTGGCATGTCAGCAGCCCACTCTGAATGTGTTTCATTTTTCTTGGAAGCGACATCTGCATCGGGAGATAATTTTATTTTCTTATGGCACTCTCTTCTGCAGTGGAGACCATAACCTTTTTGAAAATGCTAATCTGATTTAAAACTTGGTATTACATTTTATATTATGATTCCTCCTTTTCTTTCTTGCTCATCTAATATTTCTAACAAAAACGTTCTCTTATTCTCAGGGAATTGGCTGCTCTGAATGTCATTCCACGTTCCCTGTGCCATATGCTTACCAGCCTAGCCCTCTGTGCCCAGGCCCAGTTACCCTGTGGACAGACAGGGTCTCCCTCATGGTCTGTGAGATGCCTTGCACTTGTTTGCACTTTGCCAGGTGCTTGGTTGAGGGGAAGGAATGGTATGTCTGACTCAGAGACCGTGCTGGTGATGGCCAAGGGGAGATTTTTCCCTGTGGGTGGTGTGAGTCGTCTCAGCAGGGGAGCACGTTTCCGGTGGAAGTGAACGTGGTTTAAAGTAGGGCAATCACTGGGATGGTGGAGCTCATTACAGCAAACCTGTGGATACTCACCGATGATTTCTTGTTGCAGAGAATTTCATTGTAGCCCCAAAGAACTCTGGCCAGAAGTTATGTGCTGTATTGTGGTGAATTTCCCATTGAAAATTGTCCATTTATTTTGGAGAATTTTGGTGAAGATTACTGAAAACTTTAGTTCCCGCATCTCCCACTTTGGCATGTGCTTTTCTCTTGCTTTGGTTGCCGAAAAATATGCAGCACCTTGCAGGATAGTAGACTGTAATCCTGGCAAGGATTTCGGGCTTGAGGTAACTAATGGATCATGAGTCACAGTGCCTTGATTAGGGCAGAGGGTGGCAACTAACAATGACAGAGCCTGTAATTATATCCTATGATCAGATACTGCAGGAAGGTTTCCCATCTGCTGTGTACCTGGGCTCAGATACAGACAGTGAAACAGCCACTGTAACTGGCACCAAGGCTACAGGACAACAGTCTTCATTTTCTAAGGCTCCCAGGGCAGCCTCCAAATGGCCCATTGTCTCTGCCCTTGAAACTCGGTGTGGGTAATGTTTCCTCTGGAACCCAAGCTATGACTTGTGTGGGGACCAGCTACAATTGGCATGCAACCTGGAAATCGACGTGCAGTGAAGGAGTTTGACAGGAATGGCTGACCTGAGGATGGCAACAGGAATATCTTGGATGTGGCAGTTTTGTCTGTTGGCTGGCATGCCATCATCTTCCCACTTGCTTTCCCTGCAGTGGGTCAGGGCGTACTGTGAATGAAAGGAGGAGGGAAATGCCGAGAACGGGTCTGCTTTTCCTTCTTTTGAAAGATCCAGACTCTAGAATTATTAGCTCCATCCAAAATTGCTTATCTCTTTTCAGCTGTTGCTGTACAAAATGTAGGTGTTTCCTCCCCTCAAACTCTGCTGCTTTCCCCTTCTTTATAGAAACAGCTGGTTTCTTTCCGACTTCATATTCTTGGTTAAAATAAAACTGAGTCAAGATTTGCTAAGCTAGCAGAACCCTTGCAGAACCTCTGACCCCTGTGTTCCCTCAGCAGACCAGTAGCCTCTCTCTGTCATTCCCAGGGCCGCCTGGGAAAGGGCAGCTCCCCAGCCAAAGCCCAGCCGAAGCCCAGCCTTACAATCCAGC